TACTGGTTGCAAGGTACATTTGCTCTTTCTCACACACACGCATGCACATGCACACACACACACGCAGACACTCATCCACACTTACCCACGTCCTTCCCAACTAGGCTGCCAGGCACTAGCTAGAGGGACAGAAGCCACCAAGTCTAGATCCAAAGATGACTCAAAGACTCAGAGGACTCAGAGTGGGTGGACTTTGGGACCCCTTTTATCCCCAAAACTCCTTGCTTTGTTGATTCACAAGTCTGGCAACTGTTGATGGGATTGGGGCGGGGTTTTCCATGTGCTCAGGCCCAACTTCTTTTGCCTGGTTCAGGTCACATTTTTCCTTTGTTTCCTTAACAACTTGCTTCCTTCTCATCTACCTTCCCGAAGGGATCTCATAGACAAGATTCCTGCTTTTTGTCCTCTCTGCTTACGTGCTTGCTCCATCTTTAGGTTATGGCAGCTTCAGCCTAGTCTCACAAGGGGAGACCCAGATTTCTGGTCCCCTGTAGAGAGCTGCATCCAATGGAGAGGGGTGTCCCTCACCCGGGTGATGTGGTTTGGATGTGGAGATGAGACCTCCCTGGGAACATCAGATCAACATCAAATTGGAAACTACTCAATTCCAATATGGAATGTTATATCAAGAGATCTCAAGGCCCTTTACTGGTTGCACACCGACCATCCAGGCCAAGCATCTACAAACCCCTTGGTGAGAAGATGGGGATGGACCATCTGAGATGGAGAAGATGGACTCTCCAAGCCCCAATGTAGGCCAAGTCAAAACATGGTCCAAGCAAGCATGGGGGAAATCAGATCAGATGTTATCCTCATCGGACTGTGAACTTTTATTTGGAAGCTGTGACTGAAACTGGGAGTTGGGGAGGAGAGCACCAAGCATCTGTGTTTTCTTTTAAGAAACTCATTTCTCATGTGGATTAATGCAAAAGAAAAGAAGGCAGAGAGAGAGGAAAAGAGACAGACAGCAGACAATAAAATATTTGAGAATGTGACTTTTCAGACAGGCTAAAGCTTTCCTTGCTAAATCTTCAGATGGTAGAAAGGCCAAACAGGGCCATACTTCCTACAATTCCTACCATCCAGGCCAAGTTTCGGACCTGCAGAATCAAAAAGAAAGATTATCAGCAAAGATTTTTCTTCAGTGCAAGGAAAGATCCTGTTATATAACCCTGAAAAACGTCCTGTATTCTCTACAGTTTCATTAGATTCCCTAACCTGCCACGTTCCAGATGTGCTAATATGACAGCTCCCTGAAACAGGATCTCCTTCTTGCTTTATTGCTTTGTGCTTGTAAGTATAATACTGGTAGTCCTTGTTTAGCGACCACAATAGGAACTGGCCACTTGGTCATTAAGCGAAGCATTTGCTAAGTGAAATTGCAACTGTGCTTATGATTTGACTTCAACTTCCCTTTGCTTTACGGACCTGTGAAGGTTGTAAGTGCAAGGATTGGACATAAAAGTTACTTTTTCATCACTGTTGTAACTGTGAATTGTTGCTAAATGAGGACTACCTGTGGACATTTTTCCCTCCAATGGTGAATTCAAATGGGGAGTGCCAATAAACGTAAACAGCCAACACTGGCTAGAAGGAACCTAGATCAGGATTACTGTTAGTTGGTATTAGGCAAACTGAAAGATTTAATTCAGGCCCACTTGTCCAAAAGAGACCACACACCTTCCCAGTGCATTTTTCTTTAAAGGAAACGGAAACCCTACAAAGATGCTATAAATCACAGGCATAAAATTATGGCAAATCCTTTATACAGCCTGGATAGGGATTATGGAGACTGTGATCCACCCATCCTTACTAGTTTTGGACAGTTCTCAGAATCCCATTAACAAGGCAGTAGGTCTTAAACATAGTTTGCAGTCGTGTGTCAAAATATACCCTTCATTGGTTTTGGGGCTAGTTGGACTGCAATTCCCAGAATTCCCAGCTCCCAGAGCCAATGGAATCCTGGGAGTTGTAGTCCCAACACAACCACAGAGCACCAAGCTGGGTAAACTATCTGAAAAACTTTTCTCATCATTCCGAAGTTCGGAGTGTGTAGGTATGGTTATTGCTAGTTTGATCATCACTTGGGACTAGAAGGGCAAGTAATTTGTTTCGGCGTTCAGTGACCACACTTACTTGATCACTTCTGGCCACGTCATAGCGCAGGTTGTTGGAAAAATGCTCACAATTCTTGCTGGTGATTTTGTATCTCACAACTTTGCCCACCATCTCCTGTGCCAGAGAAATAATCTGGTTCGTGGGCCGGACAGGGTACTTGGCGTCATGCTTGTTGCTGATTTTGAAGTTATCTGTCCCGACCACATCTGACAGCAGTTCCTTCTTCACCACTGCTCGGTCAGAAAAAACGGACATGGAGCTGGCTGCTCCTGCTCCAGCAACTTCACCTTCAGGAAGGAAAGAGAGTGTGTGATGGCCGGGGAGAGAAGGGTCAGCTGCCCAGAAATTCATCCATGTTGCAACCCTGAGAATGGAAGACCAGCCAAAACCAGCTGGATTCTTGCAGACCACGGGCCCTCAGTGCTGTGAGTTCACCGAAACCTCCCTATGACAAGGCAGTCTATCTTTGACCCCAGGAAGCAGGGCATCTCTTAAAGACCCCCAACATCACAAATACCTCTCCGTTCAATTTGAGTCCTAGGCTGGCCTCCAACAACGACAAATCAGCCTCTTCTTGTGGGGCAGTCATTCTGAATTTCTCCCATTCAAATTTAAAATAAAACAAGAAACAGAGCTAAACTAGTTCTGTTCTACCTTGAGAAAAACCTTTTTCCCCATCCTCAAAATATCCCTAGGGCTGCTTAAAATGCTCAATCAAGGTGGCCAACTTTCTGGCTCGCTCCTGCTCTTTGGCCATACCTAGCAGCTTAGCTGGCCCAGAAGATCAGGCCCATCACAAGTCCTTGCCCCATATTAAAAATGCACACACCAAGATGGGGTTTTGCCTGGTCATTTGGCAAACCCAGTCCAGAGGCCGTTCCTTACTTGGTGGAGCCAGATGGACCACGTAGCCCAAGCCCACATAGACCGCCCAGTGCTGGTAGACTGGCCGGAAGATCTCAATCAAGTCCCCAGGCTCCAGATCCACCTGCGAGGAAAGGAAGACCAGATGTGCAAGAATTAGTTCCCAGGGTAATCCAAGAAGGGGCATTTATCCATACTACACACAGATGCATTTGGCCCGGCCCTCACAAAAACACTACAAGCCCCCCTCCCCACAAATTCTAACCCTGTTTAAGATGTGTGGACTTTAACTCCCAGAACTTCTAACCAGATGTGTTTCTAACCCAACTTTAAGACGTGTGGACGTCAACTCCCAGAGCTTCTAACCAGCCGTATTTCTAACCCAACTTTAAGACGTGTGGACGTCAACTCCCAGAGCTTCTAACCAGATGTGTTTCTAACCCAACTTTAAGACGTGTGGACGTCAACTCCCAGAGCTTCTAACCAGATGTGTTTCTAACCCAACTTTAAGATGTGTGGACTTCAATTCTGGGAATTGAAGTTCACACGTCTTAAAGTTCGCGAGGTTCAGAAACACTGCATTAGAAAGTCAAGTCCTCTTGGAATCCATGTGCTGGAACTTTTCTTTCAGATAAATCCATCTAATTAGAGCCCCTTGACGTTTCTCTTTTAGATTCTTTCCTGTCTGTCAGGGGGAAAGTCTGAAAAATAAGTATCCTACAGGGGAAAAAAAAAGGAATTCAAAAAGGAAAGAAAGCATCAAGTTGTGCTGGATAGTAAATTCAGAGCCACAGGATAGCCTAGCATAAGGAAAGGCCCGTTTTTCTTTGGAAACTATTAGAGAGTCCCTGAAACCCACTTCTCTGGTAACTGGGCAACCTCGATTGTTCCAGTGTGCAGTTTTTGAAAACGGTCTCTCTCTTTTGTGGCATTTCCCAAGCTGGCACTTGCCCAACGCATGGGATGACAATTCCTAGCATCATCCTACTGGCCCTGCCAACCACTGTGCTATCTCTGGAGTTAAAGGCCGTGCACACAGTGAGGTGGAAATGTGGCCTGATTTGGGGTGTTCCTCTCCTTTTTCTTCCTTTGCAAAATTATCATTTTTATAGTAGAAGCAAAGAACGGGTGTGGTCAGGCTACCACTGTTTCTTAGAATTCTGCATAGGTTAGACCCTTGCAAGCGGTCAAATTTGAAAAAAAATGGTCAGCTTCACATGATGTTGGCCTCCCTTGAGAGAGCTCAGGTTTTAAAAAAAATACAATAATGAATTGAGATGGGGGCTTGGCAGAAAATACCCAGGGGATCATCTCAGATGCCCTGACATCTTATCACAGTCATCATGACAAGAGTGCCAAAATTACAATTTATTAGCTCTGTTCTCTGGTTATGTACAAACAATTCCTATCCATTCCTCCTAAATTGTTTAAAAAAAAAAAAAAAAAGCATATCTCCTAAAGAAAGCAGGTCTACAGTAGCCTTATGGTGCTTTAAAGTTGAATATGTTTGTTCAGATGGGAGCTTCTGGGGGGGGGTCACAGTCCATTTTACCCCACTGAACCTGTGCCGGATTCTGCACTGATTCTTAATGGGGCTGTCCCTTTGCCCCGTTTGAATATTAAAGGGTTAGGCTGCAGCCCTGAACGGAGAGGAAGCAATTAGACCTTAGACTTTCTCTAAGATCCATCCTTCCTGCCCAGCCCAAATTATCTCCAGGAGGCCATTAAAGCAGAGCCAAAGTTGGCAAGCCACGATGCAACAAGGCAGGAATTCGGAAAAACACCCGAAGTTGTGAAGCAGCCTCCTGTAGAATCAAAAGAGCTATACACCCACACCCACACACACACACGTGTAACACGGTTAGATTTGGAATCCAGTCCTCCCCAGGTGTGCTGCTGTTGTTGAGAAAACCCTAAGAGTTACCACATCCTTCGCCTGGTGTCTGAGATCAGCCCTTCTCCGGCTTTACACAAAATGCTAAACGGTCAATTAAGCAAAGTTTATTTATTTAGGTATTTATTTATTAAATGTATATGCCGCCCATCTCCCCCAGAGGGTGACTCTGGGCGGCTCACCATGAAAATCCAGAACAGTAAAAAAACCCAATGAAAATATAAATATCCGTATTAAATTTAGCTAATGACACTTCTATATAAAAGGAGTCTCTACAGTTCAAGATGATGGAGGGGAGGAATATCAATGATCCCACCAGCCAATTCTGACAATCAGGCCCCCATCAGGCCCCCGGTGTGTACAACATACTAACAGGACCCCGAAACACACTTTGCATGTTGCACAAATGCTTCCGCAAGGTCTTGCCCTCCCCAGTTACATGTTGTGGGGACACAGCCGTTCACTCTTTCCTCCCCAAACAGTGAGATGGGACGAAACGTCTCATCAAATCTTCCTTCGTCTCTCCAGTTCAGTGCAACAGACTGACAGACGCCTGTCTTTCTCAAGTTGCTTAATCTCGACGGGATTCTTCATCTTTCGCCCCTTACGGACTTTTTGCATCAAAAAGAAAATGATTTTGCAACTTACAGTTTTGATGATGAGAAAGAATAGGTTATAGAAAGAAGGGAATTAGGATGAAATCTTGGAGAGGTTGGATTAGGACTGGACGTGTAACTGCCAAGAGGAAGATCAGAAGCCCCTCTTTCTTTCTTTCTTTCTTTCTTTCTTTCTTTCTTTC